AAGGAAAAGGAAAAGGAAAAGGAAAAGGAAAAGGAAAAGGAAAAGGAGAAGACTGTGAAACAGAAAACAGCAAATTAGAATTACTGAATTACTGACAAGTTTGTGGTAACAAGCTGTTCCTTTATGATGCATTGTTTTAGTGGTCATCCTGAAAAACTCCTCTGCACACAGAGCTTAGTTTAGCTTCTCCTTATTAGATCTTTACTGGATGTCCACGTTATTTAGTCCCTGGAGTGTTCTTTGTAATTTCAAAATTAGTTTAAATAGGTTAAATATGAATACTTTGGATTAAGCTGTTTTAAAATAGCCCTTTGAGGGATTGCTGCAAAAATGGCGATTGAAGAGAAAATAAGGGTGAAACGTAACTATTCCACTTGCTCAGCTGCTACTTGTGGTAGCTACCATAGCAATTCTTGGCCTCAGCTTTTCATTAACCTGAAATGAAGCTGAGATGTGCTGGCTACACATTGCAGCTGTGTTGTAGAAGTGGGGCAAGGCGTGGGTACCGTTCTCTTTTTTGGCATTGCTGGGTTTTCACAAAATGATGCAGAATCACGGAACAGATGAGGTTGACAGGGATCTCAGGAAGCCAAACGGTGCGGCTCTTCCTCAAGCAGGGACGCCCAGAGCAGATTCCATTTGCCTCTTGAAAGTGTCCCTGGGCACCACTGCAAAAAGCTTGGATCCATCTCCTTTTAGCTCTTTAACTATTAGCAGAGCCAGAGTCTTTCTAATAAAAAAAGGAAATTCTGGAGAAAATGGAACGGGTACTTGTTTCACATCCGCGTTGCTGTTGTTATTCATAGAGGTTTGTAGTTATTCATGTATTTAATTGGTATTTGCTGATTGTTAGCTACTGAACCAACTGTTGCACTGCCTATGTTATGGATCAGATACCCAACTGAGCTTTAACGGTGTAGTTATTTATCTTTGTATAAAAGTTTGACAGATAGAGTTTAGAAAAAGGGCTACACAGTCTACATAGTTTTTTCCTGAGGTTGAGGGGTAAAGAATTTGTCCACTAATTTTTCAGTAGTTTTGGGGGAATGTTGACTTCTTGAAGCTGTACCTCCCACATCCATCTATCTGTTGCTGTGGATTTTTACTGGCTATAATGTACTAGTCCAATATACTTAACACTTTGTAGCAATCAAAACTTAATTTGAAGTTAATAAAAAGCATGGTTTTCTGTCTGTTAAGGTTAAATGTAAGGTGTTTGTAAGTTTTTATGAGCAACACATCTTCAGTTGTAGTATTTTTAATCAACAAAATTGAGTTTCAAAAAGCCACCAATGAGCTTTTTTGTGAAGAGCAGATCAAGACATGTTAATTCAAGCTTCAGATGTGACTTTTAAAACTGGCCTACTCAAATCTTTTATTTACCCTTGTGTAATCTCAATTTAGGTTAAATCAGCAAGCAATTAAATCTGAAGAAGAGTATGCACAGAGAGGGCTGTATAGATCTAAGTAAGCAGTTTTAGTCAACTCTATTATGTTGAATCAATTTTCCCTTTTATTTAAACTATGCTTAAAAATTACTTTGAGTCAATTCCTTACATAAAATGTTGTAACTCAAGTGATGTATTAAATTAAAAAGAAATCAGAGGTTAGTTCATGAGAGCAGTCACGTGCTATATCATCGTACATCTTGAGGAGTGAAGGGTTTACAAACAGATTTCTCTTAGGGAAGAAAAGCAATTGACACCCAATTAGTGTTAAAGCATATTCCTAAAGCTCAATGACTTGAGAGCAAATTACAGTTGTCATTGTGGATTTGTGAAGTGTGCTGAACCGTGATACATTCCTTCAGAGGGAAGTTGCTCAGACATGAAAGTATATAACAAGCACAGCAAGTACAAGTTCTCTATGTTTCTATAATATCAGTGCTTCAATAAAACAAATTTGTCAAGTAATCACAAGGTCAACTGAATGCATTTTTACAAATTCCTGCTATTTGTTAAATACCTGTCAATGGCTTGCTGAGCTTTCAGCCCAACTCCGGTACATCATTCCCTCTTCTACCAGCCACTCACAAACCACTGTATTTGTAGCTGCAAGCTGACACAGAGACGGCAGACTTTTCGTGAGTAAAAAATCGCAAGTGAAAGCTTTTTGCTATGTGACTAGTCAGCAAAACTTTCTGAGCATTGCCTTTCCCCCTCTGAGCATGGCCAGTCCTCTGAGTGAGCATCTATGCGATGTGATGGTGATCAGGTAAACCCTGATCAGAGAAGGAAGTCCTCAAATGTCTTTGCTCTTCCTTTGTTCATAGATTTATAGAATCACAGAATGTTTCATAGAAAAGTTTCAACTCTCCTGCTGTGTGCAGGGTCGCCAACCATAACCATCTAGAATCAGCTAGAATCATCTAGTTTCGAAAAGACCTTCAAGACCAGCAAGTCCAACCATCAGTGTGAGCTGCCAGGTCCCCTCACTGTTGACCATCATGGACATGCTGCACAGAGCACTGCCCTAAGGCTGGACTTCACCATCATCCACTCATTTTAGCAAGTTGGCAGGCAGCGCGTGCTGAAGCCAGGCTGAGGGATCTCAAGCCACTTACATGGCTTCACTCACACTCTTAATTCAGAGGTGTCCTGAATAGCAGTGATTTCCTCAACTGGGAGCAGGGACTACTTAGGGATGAAGTAATTAAATTGCATTTCTCATGAAAAGCCTTCACTGTTAATTTATAGTATTTGTCATATCTCTGGGAATGCAGTCACAGAAACAAAGAATGAATTGAGAAAAAAGGAGTGAACTTATTTGAGAAATTTTTATTTCTGAAAAATTTCATGACAATTTGAAGCTTGTTTCAACTGATCTTAAGAAATCCTTTTCGAGCTTTTAGGCGTATAAAGAAAAGTTTAGTATTTCCTAATTTTTTTTTCCTGTGAGCTCCTTGGTAAAAAAGGAGACAATACTCTTTTACTGCAATTAAAAGTCCTACATGAATGGAATCTTAATGTTCTTTTTGTTTTTTTAGTATCAGTTCTGTAAAACTTTTCTGTCTCATCTGTCACCGATGTGGAATGTAGGAAAGGGTAAGGAAAAGGGGAAGGCAGATTCAGCCATGAGGAAGAGAGAATTATTAAATGTGAAATCAAGAAATTCAACACAAAACCCACACAGATTTAATGGCAATTAACTCTAAATATTGCAAATAGGAAATTTAAGTTCATATAAAGCCACGTTACTTCTTCCTTTGCTCACCATGAGTAATGATAGACTTTTATTTGAGAAGACTTGTCCTTCATTATTTTTATCTTCTTATTTTTCAGGTAATAATATTAAACTACTATTATCTCCTATAATAGTCAATACTGATGTCAATTTTATTTTAATTTTCTGAAGTAGTTTCATCACTTTCTCCCTTCAGGACCCTCAGCCTACTGGAATAAGACCTCAAAGTGGTCCACAGGCAGGTGGAACCACACTTACCATCACTGGTATGAACCTGGCAACTGGTTCCAAGAAGGATGTTCGTGTTTATCTCGGTAGCCAGCCTTGCAATGTGTACGTACCCTGGGTAATGGAGAATAGAGTTGTATCCTAACAAAGCATCAACCTTTTCTGGCCTTTAGAAATTACACAAATCTTTTGTCTATCTCTTAGAGGTAGTGATTCATGCTGTGCAGTGTGGTTCAGCACATAATGTTCAGACACAAACTCACTCAGAGGCTTCAGCTGGAATTGGTAGCTGCAAAAATCACCAAAGCTGAAGAACTCAGTTATGCAAAGAATTTTACAGTTTCAGCTCACTCTGATTGACTGGCTGCTCCATATCTGGCCATGCTCTCACTCAACATCTCCTCAGTGGTTCCATATACATATACACTTTTAATCCTGTTGTGCCCCTTGTTCATAGAATCATAGAATCATAGAATCACAGAATCATAGAATCATAGAATCACCAAGGTTGGAAAAGACCTAAAAGATCACCCAGTCCAACCGTTCACCTATTCCCAATAGCTCCTACTAAACCATGTCCCTCAACGCAACATCCAGTCTTTCCTTGAACACCCCCAGGCTCGGTGATTCCACCACCTCCCTGGGCAGTCCATTCCAGTGCCTGACCACCCTTTCTGAAAAGTAATACTTCCTAATGTCCAGCCTGAATCTCCTCTGCCGTAGCTTGAAACCATTCCCTCTGGTCCTATCAATTATTAATTGCTGCCCTTCTCTCCCCCCCAGGAATGGAGTGAGATGAAATGTGCTGGCAGCACATTGTGTTCGTACAGTATTGCTTTTCATATCTGCTTAAAAACTCTAAATGATCTGGAGAAAATGTTACCTACTCATGTAATTTCCTAATGCTTAGCAAACATAGAGTTTTTATTGTTGTTATTATGAAGTACTATAGTAAAGAATACAGATCACAGTAATGTTAGTAACTAAAGATGTTTCCTTTTCTTCTGCAATCTAGCACTGAATTTGGAGATGAGATTGTTTGCGTTACAGGACGTAATAGCAAGGTTGAAGCTGTTGGAGTCACAATGCGCTATGGGGAAACAAAAATTGATGTACCAGTGCAATTTTCATACAGTGAGAATCCTACTGTCACCAAGTTCAAGCCTGTTAATAGCTTCAGCAGGTAATGAAATATTTGTCATTACTTCATTTACAATTGGGTTAGAATATGTTGTAGCTTTTTCTCCATATAGAACTGTTTGAAATAAAAACTAGCATAGTCTCAAACTTATACGCTGACTGCTCTGCCTATTGGGCACAGTTGACAGAGAGGAATCAAGTAAATTTTTTCTTTCAGGAAGAAGTGTAAGATTGTGATCTTAAAAATAGGATGATAAAAATAAAATCAGCCATGACTTCTCTTAGATAAACTGGTACCTTCCTCCATGTATAGGGAGCATTGCTTATGTAAAATTTGATGTGTTTTTCACACTTGCTTTTGATTTTTGTTTGGGTGGTTTGGAGGCCTCAGGGGTTCTTTGGTAGATCACTAGTGATTTACTCCAGGGTATTTAAAAGACATCTTTTTTCCTCCTTATGAACTGAACCTTATTTCAGTGGATTGCTCTGAGGATTGCTATCCTTCTCAATCTGTGTTACTGAGAAGACTTGAGTTCCCACCGGCCACCTGTATGCGTTCTTTTTCTTATATGAATACATTCTCTTGTAAAAGATATGTTGCAAATGAAAAGGAATAGGGAAGCCAGTTCCCTGCAGATCTGTGGAAAATACACTCACCTTTATCTCAGTGTGTGGTAGGTGGACGGATTTGAACAAAAACATTGCAGAAGTAAAGCACACAAAAATAGGCATCAGTGAAAAGCTACTGACAAATGACTTGCACTTTTCTATTCTGCTATTTGAAAATTACTTTTAAGTTGACATTGCTGTTTTTAAATGATGTTGCCATCAATAGCTTTAACAGAATTTTTTTGTGTAGAATGTGTGCAATTACATAACTGTTCTCAGTGGAAGTAGTAATGCTGTAGGATAAAGCAATCTATAGCTGTAGTGTTTTGCCAATTACTTGACTTCTCTATTAATTTTGTCTTTCAGTGGAGGGAGAAATATTACAGTAACTGGAACTGGGTTTGAACTGATCCAGAGTTTCTCACTGATGGTACATGCAGAGCGTCCAGAAGCAGGCAAACTGAGCTCCAAAACGGTAATTTTCTTTTTCCCCCGCAAGGCATCACACTGGATGCATAACACATAATCTATTTAAAAAAATGCATGAACTTGCCCACTTGAATTCATTGGGCTTGAGGTGGAGGGTCGTTTGAACAGGCTTCTGGGTCTGTTCTGGATCTCACTCTGAGAAAAGCCCACTCCCGCCATCTTCACTTACCTTTACATGGATCTTATAATCTTTTGCTTTAAAATTATTTTCATTCAAAATGAATAAGGATATAAGAATTAAGCTTTGGATGGTAAACTGGATGTATTACAAAACTTGAAAGTGGTGTAATTTGTCTTCATCTTTCTCCTTCCTTGCAAACTTCAGCAATTTGCCTAAAAGTCCTACAGTATTGCATTCTTGGCTTGCACAGTCAGTGCGCAACAAAAAAATCTTCTCTTTCTTTCTTCAAGCATATTCCACTTACAGCATGTTCCTAAAAAAAAGACATGAACAATAAATAAAGTTAAAAAAGAAAACAAACGTCTTGCTTGTAATGTTAAGAACTGACATTATCTGTAGGTCTCAATTTCCCACTCTTCTCATGAAGATTGCAATTTAATACAAAGATTGAGAGCTTAGAAAACAATCTTCCAGTAAGAATGTGTTTTAAGGCTTTTTTTTAAGGCTAGCTTTTCAATTTAAGACTGTAGTGTGGCTCAATTTCAAAAATAATTATAGAATTGCTAATCTTCATTTCTAGTGTTTTATGTGTGGTTCAACTTTTAGAGTATGCTAAAGCCAGCTGGCTTTTTAATCTTTTTTAATCTTTTGTTTTGCTTCATTTCTGTAGCAATATCAATATTTAGGGGAGAAGCTATCAAGTAGCATTTGATTTCTGTAAGAAACTAAGGTGTTAATAGAGGAAGTTCTGAGAGTTCTTGGCTGTGTGTGTTAGTGTTGTTGGCTGTGGTTTGTGTAACTGAATGACTGCAGGAGTTTGTAGGATAAGAACATTTACGTAACTGAGAGTGAGGGGAGGGACAGATCAATGGAGCTGTTATCAATTAGTAACAATTAGTAAATTTTATTCAGAAATTCACTTTGTAATTGTCTTGAATTTCAGCAAGGTATTCTACTGTGTCAGTAAAAAGAACCTGAGACACTTTATGGTTCAGAAGATGATCTGGATTAAACTTCCCATGTAAACCTCTTAATTTTAAAGCAATTTACTGATATCAGCCCAGTTGTCCAGAGCCACAGAATTTGGAGGCAATGGAAAGTGAGCTGTGTTTTTTCTGGGGACAGCTGCTAGGATATAATGAATCAACAATTTGTTCCCGTCATTATTGCTTTTTCTTTTCTTTTTAGCAAGTACCAAATACTGTGTTATTTTTTCTGTATGAAGAGGATACAACGCCAGTGTTTTCATTTCTGAAGTGTGAAGTTATCAACACTTATGTATAAGGACCAATCAAACTCTAATATGTTCATGTTCTTCTCTTGTTTCTTATAGTTTGTTGGAAACTGTGTTATGAGACTTAATGAAACCACAGTGGTTTTTTCTTCACTACCAATATTGGAAGATCCAGAAAACTATAACATTACCACTATTATTCTAATGGATCATTATCAGTTGGTTGTAAAAAATGAGAGCCATTCATTTACATATGTTGCAGACCCAACCTTTGAAAATTTCACAGATGGCATCAAAAAGCAAGTCAACAAACTTATAAATGCAAAGGTAAATTTATTAAGAGATTATGGTTACTCACTTTGTCCTTGATACGTGTGTGAGATCTTTCCTTTCTTTCAAAAACCCTTAACCTATAATGAACAGCTGTTAATGCCTTACCCCTGCTAGATAATAAATATTGTCTTTCCTTTCCCTCCCCTGCTCTTCTCAGAGGCCTTTTTGCCATACTTTGGGTTTCCCCAGGACTCCACTACTGTTGAGTCTGGCCTTTGGAAATTTCTTCTCTCAGAGAGCTCTCAAGGACTGCAGGGAACTTTTCTTCTTGCGTCAAGAAGAAAAGGAGAAGGAATTGTATGATTCCCCTCCACCTCCACTCTGCTCTTCTGTACACTACAGTATGACTCACATCTGCTGCTCAAAATGATCCAAATAGAAATTATCAACTCGGGATTTCTCGTATCCCAAGACTTTGCCTTAATGACTTACTCTTTTATTTTCTGTCTAGGGCAGTAACCTGAACAAAGCCATGACCATTGACGAGGCCCAGGCTTTTGTAGGTGATGAGCCTTGCAACATAAAGACACTGACTGAAACAGACTTATATTGTGAGCCGCCTGAAGTACAGCCACAGCCAAAGAAAAGGCAGAAAAGGGATATGATCAATAACCTTCCAGAATTCATTGTAAGTTACCTTTTCAATATAATGTATACTGTAAAGAAACTCCTTGCAGTTCTTTCTTCCTCCAGTTTCTGCCTCTTGTCTAGAGGATGTCACATGTAAAGAGTGTTCCCAAGCTGCCGAGCTGTACATTCTTCACACGGGATTGTAAAATTCTAGCTAGGCAAGCTGGGAATTTTTCTTCCTCTGCAAAGTAAAGTAGAATTATTTCATAGAATAAAGTGCTGGTGACCTAAATTTTGTATAAAATATTCAGAAATGTTTCTTTTGTTTGGCAAATTGAGCTAGAAATTCACTTAGTGAGAATTACTAAGAATTTAGAGCACAATTGAAAAGTGAGCCACTGTCCATTTGCAGTTCTTGAGGCAAATGTCTGTGCTTACCTAATTAGGTGAAATTTGGACTCCGTGAATGGGTCCTTGGAAGAGTGGAATATGATACACGTGTGAGTGACATCCCACTGAATCTTATTTTGCCACTGGTACTTATTCCTATGATAGCAATCATCATCATTTCTATCATCTGTTACAGGTAAGAAGTTCCTTTAATTATGTCCTTTTGTTGTCCTGTGTCCTACAGTTTAGAAGGTAATACCTGATTGTTCTGAGCTCAACCAACAAAATATAAATTTTAAGAGCTATAGAGTTAAGAAAATCAGTTAAGGCTGGAAATATGTCTGAGCACCAGTTTATTCCTCTCACGCACACCAAATAATGTGTAGGTGTTCAAGGCCAGGTTGGATGAGGCCCTAGGCAGCCTGGTTTAGCATTAAACGTGGAGGTTGGTGGCCCTGCATGTGGCAGGGGGTTGAAGATTCATGATCCTTGAGGTCCCTTCCAACCCTGGCCATTCTGTGATTCTGTGATTCTGTGTGTCAGTCAGCATGGTGTGTCCTTTAGACGTGAGCACAACAATTGGTCCCAGGTTTGCCTAGTGCGCAACTGCGAAGTGGCACACATAACATTCTTGAAATGGCTGCTAACGTGCCTCTCCTGAAGGATATAACCTATTCTGCATACATATTCATCCACATTTATACTGCCTCAGTCCACTGTAACTCCAAGCTGGGATGTATTTGGCTTAGTGGTCATTTTGGTCTTTCAAGCTGAGATAAGTTTTACCCACACATAAATTTCATTATTAAGTTCACACTTCACAAAGGTCCAGAACAATGTCTGTACTTCACTTGAGACCTACTTAGCATAATTTTGAGGTTAGTAATACACTGACCTCATGCACAGACCTTAAGAGTAGGTGGATTTCATTCCAATGGTGTGTATCAGCAGAGCAGATTTTCTGTAGCCTCCTTGGTTCACTTCTTGTTGCATACCCTGGATGCCTCATAGCTAGTGTAGAACATACTGCAAGTAGTCTTTGTTTGGTGCATACAAATTAAGCTTCTGTACTGAATATATAGGATTTGTATGTATAAATATTTGTAGCTTAGTGCTTATTGGATTTCAAATGTCTGCCCAGCACGCTTTCAAGTAGCATGTCTGTGGTGATGCTAGGGTGATTGGCACTAAATTTGAGCTACTGATGCTGTTCTCCATTTCTTCATCTGTCAGTAGTGTTCAAACGGAAATCTAAGCCAAGAGCGGTCCTCCCATCATCCCCTGTTGCAAACTATTTGATTTTACAATTTGTAACTTTTGTAAATCTTATTTTTATTCCATAAAGACGGAAGAGCCAGCAAGCAGAACGAGAGTATGAAAAAATTAAATCTCAACTTGAAGGCCTGGAGGAGAGTGTCAGAGACCGGTGCAAGAAGGAATTCACAGGTATGACAGATATTTGCACTGCTGTGAGTCCTCTTGAGCAATTGGAAGACCTGTGATGCTATGTTGCTAAAACTATCTCTTGAGAACAAATAATTCAAAGTAGGTCTTGGTAGTTTTGATTACAGGTATTGACACAGAGCAAACATTTTGCTATTATGTATAAAAATCATAAATTATGTAAAATATGGAGTTGAGGTTCTTAAAGGAAATGGACAGTTTTAGTCTAAAGGAAGCACAGTTTTCTATTACAAAATAAAAATAGTTGAGATAGGGGTTATTTGTAGTTATTTATGCACGTTCACAAATGTGAGTGGATTGACACAGAGGAAAGAGAGGTTCGCAGTAACTAACTGTCCACTTAGTATTTAGCACAATGGCAATATATGCCAAGTATGTACATGAAAAATGATTTTCAGACCTGCAAAATGTATTTTCAGCAATCAGTCTGCAAAGGGATAATTGGTAAGCACACAGGAAAGAAATAGTATGTTGTACAGTTTATCATGGCAAGACCCTATGCTTGATTTGAGAAGCTAGCTAATTGTTTTGTATAAATCTAGAAACATCATCCCAGGGAGGACAGCAGGAGGTGTGTAGGCTCAGCATTTCTACATGTTGAACCACTCATTGCAATGCTTAAATTAAGCATCTGAATGCAAACATTGCAAATATTGGCCTAAATGATTACCATGAAATGTCACCTCATTAGCTAATTAGACTTGCTGTTGGGTCGTGTTGAAATAATCCCTACTAAAAAAGCCACAGGTTTTATTCTACAGAGAAATAGATTACTTCATGCTGACAGCAGCTAACAAGAAGGATTGAATTAAACACCAATTTCAGGTTAGAGTTTGAAACTAATGTTAGGAGCTTGGGTATCTCAGTGACTTCTGCCATACTTGGAGCTTCTCTAAGTCTTGTTTTCCAGAAATGTTGGAGACTGAATGTTCTTTCCTTTCAACTTTCTTTCTCTGGAATGCTAACTCTTTCCATGTTCTAGACACAACCCAGAAACAAATCTTTGAATCAAAAACTGTTACTAGGGAAGCTTAATTTCAAACTGCATTTTGAAATGTGAAAGGTTTAATCAAAGTTAACAGCGCTCTCTCCAACTGCCTCCTCAATGCAAAACCTCATACTCATTTCTGAAAGGAAAAGGTGCCTTTCTCTTGCTGATCCTCCCTGGAGGGTGCTGCAGACTCCTGGTGTTTGGTGGGTTGAAGGTTTCCTCTCTGCTCCATTAAGCACAAATACTGAGGAAACAGAAAGCATCTGCAAGGAGCAATCCAGTTTCCAAACTGCATCCACCTTGGCTGACAGTAAAGTGAAACACTGAAGTCAAAACACGTTCTAGAGCCACAATAGTGTAAAGCTATAATGACAGCAGCATGAAATACAGACAGTCTGAAATACGTAGGACCAAGAATAGTCAAGAGAAGAGCCATCAGGGAGGAAGTGCAAATACCAAAGAGCTGGAAACCACAAGACGCTTTCTCTCTTAGGGTTTGCTGACTGCTCTAAAATAAAGGGGTAAATGAATGCATATGAGCAATAAAATTGCAGAGACACAAGGTCACTGTACTAATTAACATGGTATTCTAGTCAATCAACAATACTGGATAATTGGAAATCCTTCAGTTAAAATAGCTCTTCCGAAAGATGATTCCCTAGTTGTTGTCCTTTTAAGAAATGCAAAGTTTCTGAGTCCCACAGAAATGTCTCCATCAATTTCAGCAAGATATTTAACCTTCTTCCTTCCTGCCATTCCCTTCCTCTCAATTAAATTAGTGTTCTTTATGTTTTAAACTGTACTTCTCCTGCATTGCTATGTGTTTTTAAAAATAACTTTCATTACTGCATGGATTCAGAGGAAATAGAACATACTTTGAAAAGCTGAAAAAACAGTATTGCTGTGTCAGTTTTTTGCTCTTTGCAGCAACCCCAGGTTCATACGTATGAACTCACTCAGACATCCATTAAGACTGTCTTTCAATAGATGTAAACAAGGAAACCATCTGTGCTACAGACAGATGCGCATGTCACCAGAGGATTAGCTGTGGTCATAGCTAACAGGATAATTGGCAAAAATAACAAGAGAAAATGTGAGTTGAGATAGAGTTTTCAGTGATGAGTTACTTCTTCTATGCTGTGTGGTACCCAAAGCGATTGTGCTACCAAAAAAAAAGAAAAAAGATGCAGGTTTTTTTTAAAATCAACTGTTCAACTGTGTTCTAGATCTAATGATAGAGATGGAGGATCAGACAAATGATGTAAATGAAGCTGGAATCCCAGTACTGGACTACAAAACATACACGGACAGAGTCTTCTTCTTGCCCTCCAAAGATGGGGAGAAGGATGTGATGATTACAGGAAAGCTGGACATTCCAGAGGCTCGGCGGCAGACTGTGGAGCAGGCTCTGAACCAGTTCTCCAACCTCCTCAATAGCAAATCATTTCTCATTAATGTGAGTATTGAAGTAGATTCACTTTGTCTCTTCGCTTGGCATACCTTGGCATTCAACACAGTAGGTTTGCAAGTACAAGTGAAACGAAGTCCATAGAAATAAGCCATTTTCTAAAGATTCTGGTTCCATAGTAACCAAAGCCAAATCTGTGGCACTGCAGCCAGAACTTCCTGGAGTTACAGACAGGCATTTCTGTAGAACCAGCCATATCATGTACCATAGCCTTAGTCATCATTACAGCGGCTGCAGGAAAACAGATATTACCTGCTGTAAAAGCTGCTGTTACATGTTAGTGTATGTTTATCTTTTTAAGAAATGTGTCCAAGGGAATGGTGATTCCCTCTTGGTTCAGCTAGGTGCTGTGGTTACCAGTTACCTCTTGGAAGCTGTCAGCCGGATTTTTCTCCCAGACAGCCCAAGACATAGGCTCCTCCAGAAACAAGTGCCCTATTCATAAAAATGATTGATGAGTACTCAGCTCCTCCAAAAAGATATCTAATTGCTCACACTCAAAAACTGAGCTGATTGTCAGACACCTAAATATAGATTTAGGCTCCTATCTACTTCTTATTCTTTAATGAGACTCCAGTGTTGAGCTAGTTAATGGTAACATTATAGTTTCTGGCAGAACAGAGTGCATTCCCAGGTGCACTTACTTAGATTAGTGGCTTTATAATATGATGTGAAAGGACTGGGAATTTGGGAAAGAGGAGAGTTGATTTTCCTTTTTAAAAAAATTGTCACAGAACACATTATTGTTCTTTCTCTACC